AAGAAAAGTGTGGCCTTTAGAAATTTAAAATATTTTAAAAGTCACGCGCTATCCAAGGTCTCGTAATTCTTTTTTTTTTTTTTTTTTTCTTTTCTTCAATCGAGAAATAATTTCTTAGAAATTCACTCTACGTTCGCAGCATCCTAATGAAGGTTCGAACGTATAATAGACGTGTGTTAGACTTTAGAGACATAATGTGTTTAGACTTTCTTGGAACATATCGTTAACTGTTGGATTTGATGGGAATTTGATTGGAGCGGTTGTTTCGATCGGTCTGAAACTTTTTTGGCAAATGTCTCGAACATTCGTATCATGGAATTCAGCATTCCGAGATCGTTATTAAGTAATCAGAAAGCTTTGAAGTTAAATTTTATTTTATAAAAGTAGTTTTCTCTCGCGGGGACAGAGGTTTAAGCTTAGTTGCTGTTATCAGATGAATGGTATCTTACCACGAGCATGTGAAGAAGCACGATGAACATAGTTGCGTTTCTAAATCCAATATTGTCTAGTAAAATTCCTGCCACGCTCGGACCGATGAAGGCTCCGAGAGCAAACGTGCTGGTCCACAGTCCACTGATTAGGCCATACGTCTCCAGGTTATTTGAAAAACCGTATTGTCTGAAAATTATTAATTCTCAAACTACAAAAGATATATATAAATTAATTAATAAATGTTATCATAACAAGTTTACTAATTCTCAAGCTATTCGTTATAAGTACGAGAAAGTCTACAAATTTTAATCAGCGTGATAAAGCTGTAAATTTTGACACGCATAATTTATAATATTACCAGTTTAGTCATTTCGATTTTTTTTATTTTGTTTTTTTAATAATCTACGCCAATTTCGAAATACAACTGCGAGAGGACAATGTCTATTATTAAGAAGAAATTAGGCAAAGAGTTAATGATTATTTGACATACATCGACGTTCTCAAGGCATCCGTGAAACTGGCAACCAGCTGTGCAGCCATACCTAAACCGTGAACCACCAGACCACAGACTGTCATCCACAGCGTGGTTGAACACGGTATAAAAGGTGCCGGGCCCACTAAACAAAATCCTACGACCACGAGAACAGATCCGGCCACCGTGGCCACCTGAAAATTCAATTAAACTTGAAATTCATTTCCACGGAATTGTGACACATTAATACAGAAAATTGTTAATGCCGAAAGGACAAAAAAAATGTTCATACCGTTGCACGAACTTGCGACTCGCAAATTGCGCTATTACCTACTTCATTTACGGACTTTCTAAATTAGCAAAGTTTCAGTTAACAGGCCAGGACGTTCTATTTCGTTTATAAGCTTTCTAAATTAGCGAATTTTCCATTAGTAGGGCAGTTAATGGGCGATTAGATAGTTACTTTTGGATGTGAATGCTTGTCGCAGAGCCAACCCCACGCAGGAGCGGCAATTGCGTAAGTTCCGCCGTTAATGACGAACATTAAACCCAGAACGATCGGGCTCAATTTGAATTGCCTTAAATGCGGTTCCAACGTAGCTTGCAAAAATCCTATGCTCATGCTGGTCGCGATTATGGACGACGTGGCGATCAGCACGCCCGGGATTCTCAGAGCTTTCGTCATGCCTGTGAAAATATTTCGAATTGACAATATTGAAATTCAGAATAATTATATTTATTATTTCAGAATTATTTCTCTTTTTTGGAACATTTTCTTCATAGATCAATTTCTCCGTCAATTGAAATTAATATAATATGACCTCCTGAAATAATTAAAGTATTTAATTATACTGAAATTTCTTTATTAAATACATTTACTTTTAATTACTTTAGGATTTTTTATTGCTTTAAGTCATTTATATTTTTTAAAAAGTAAATTTTCGAAGAAGATATTATTATTTACAATTGTTGCAGGTTTATATTTTTCTGTCATTCAAACAATTGAATATAAAAAATGCAAATTTCTGTATAAATGATAGAATTTGTGGATCAATTTTTGCCTCTGTTAAAAATATTTATATAAATTTGAATTTTATATTAATTTATGTAGTTGAAATGCCTGTATACTGTAAGAAGTAGGATCGTTTAAACATTTGAAAAAAAAAAACGATAAGACAGTATAAAAAATATAGAATATTGAAAATATTCTATTTTGAACTCTTACCCACTGTATTATGAGCAGCCTCGTTGTTATTAGGGTGAACTGGCAGGATAAAAATGGTCATAACTGCAGTCGTGAAGAGAGCTGATCCTAGAACAGCGAATGGTGTTATGTATCCACCAACCTGCAATAAAACAACGTTTTATTTATTTGTCGCGGTTGAAACTTTATATCTCTGTAATTAATAACATTTTAAAGATTCGTAATGGATTCTGAATTTTTAATCCCTGCAAATGAAAATATTGTGCACGTTCTTCATTAATTCTGTATGTATTTTCAATCTGTTAACAATGTCTCTAGATTAACAGAGTACTGAAACTTTATTAACTGTGCAAGTATAATCTATGATCTTTTTAAATAGAAGACTATTACACTCGGTGTCTTTAAAATAGCAAAACAGAATGTATTTCACTTGTCGTTAATTAAAACGAAACGCTATAGAATCTGTACAGTCCGCCATTATCCCCGAATAAATCGTAAAAAGCCCCATTACTTCAATCTTCCTACAATTGCTTCCATCGTTTCTAACCATTAACCCAAACTCTTACCCCTGACGATTTCAAGTAGAAAGGTTGAAACGCTCTGATCCGTTTTAACGAAAACAAAGAAGGAAGAAGAAAAACAGAAATATTTGAAAGCAAAGTTGGTTTACCTGATAAAGCGCACCGCCCACGGTAGGACCGACAATGAGACCCAGACCAAAAAATGTCTCCAGGCTGGCGAAGGTGGTAGCCACGTTATCCGGGAATTCTTTGGCGATAATGGCGAAGCTGGCGGTGAGAAACGCCGCGTTCCCCATAGCCTCGACGATTCTAATCAGGAACGAAAGGACTATGAAGGGATAATGGCCGTTCACCTTGTCCAGCAGGCCGAAGAAAATGGCACACGTTCCGGTCGTCATGATGCCGCCGTTGAACAATAGTTTTGGCCCGATTCGGTGTAACTATAAAACGATGAATTAATTATCTATTAACTTTGAAGCGTGCACTCGAGGAAAGTTGTTGTAGATCAAATTTTGGATAATTTAGTAACTGGGAACTTATTAATAAATGATTCGTTTGTCGATTGTACGTTTGGGGGGGGGGGGGGATGTTATAAGATGTTTCTTAGATCAATTGTATCGAAAAGTACAGGACAATTAATACAGAGAAATGTTGTTTGAAATGGCGTCGTTTAATAATTGCGGATTGTGGGGAGAGAACGATCGTCAATTGAAGATTTTTCACTGTGCATTCTTTCTTTTATCGCTGTGGAATTTACGATATCTGTCCGGGGATCATGTAAACGTTTATTATATTATTAATAATTATACTGTATCGATTGTTTCAGCCTGTTTTTATGAGTTATATATAAAATAAATAACTTAGGTATTATTTATTTTTCTTTTATGATTGTAAGAAAGGATAAGTGAAAAGAATAGATTACGTATGAACAGAATTCTAAATAAATGGAAATTTAAAATAAAGAATAAAATGGGAATTTAAGAGGAAGAACACAAAAATGGAAACTGTGTCCAACAGAATTTCTAATAAATAATCAAACAAAATGTTCAAAATAGAAAACGCGATGTACAACAAAAATCTACATTTAGAATTCGAAAGCTTCCATTTCCTGTTTCTCCAGATCGAGTTATTACGTGTTTCTCTAGCTTCAACTATAGTTCAAAGCGAAAAATATATGAATATACAGTTATAAATAGAATCACGAAAATTGAAGTGTTTTGAAAGTTGCCAAGCGATACTTTATCTTCTAGTTCCTTTGATCGCGTTATTTTCTTTTCACCAATAAAGATAAATTAAAGTTAATGAAAAGAGGAACTTCTTTCGAGGGAGATAAGGGGAACATTTATTGCTCTGTGTACAGATTAAGCGGCAGATTAATTTTAGACGGTTCCTTCAGCTAATTTTCTAGGTTTATTTAGACAAACGAACGATATTTCGTCAGGCTAGGAGGAAAAAACAGTTGATAAAAAGTAGCCGCCTGACAGCAGGCAACCTTTGACAGCGAAATAAACGGAGCTATCATCGGTTAGGTTCTCGTATTTTCTTACAACTAGACAATCTCTCTCTCTCTCTCTCTCTCTCTCTCTCTCTCTCTCTCTTACGATCTCACTAATGGAATTAAATCTTTCTTCGTAATCACGAGCGAGAAATAATTCTCTATCAGATTCGTTTAATCCAGAACGGAATAGATTATATTAAAGAAGATAGATCACAGTAATCGTAAACTGCTCCTTTGAACATTTACGTTAATTTCTATCTTCAACTATTTAAAAACATTTTCCTTTCGATGCGACATATTTCAAATATAATTTTGCAGTTATGAACACAGTTTTAATTAAATTTTAAACGTAGGCTCAAGTGTAACTAATTTTTTTTTTCTTTGTTGTCACATAAAAATTGGAAAGCCAGGCTTCGTCGTGACAAGAGATTTAAATACTAAATTCTAAAATATTAAAAACCAAGAATTGGTAAGAAATTGAAGTATATAATAATTATTTCACCTACATATTGTCCATAGATCGGACTGATGATAAAGACGATGAACTCGAAAATCCCAAAGACCAATCCATATTCCGACGGCGATGCTCCTTTCTTCTCAGCCTGCGAACAAACGTGAATAAGAAAACGACTAGCTCGATCAGGGCATAATAAGGCATAATATTTGGTTTTTGATTTTAAGCGAGGGAATACGAAATACGTTGGACGATTCCGTGTTGTTACTACGTTCTTGGTCGCATTATCACGCGTTCGACTGCAATTAACGCTGGCCACGATAAATCCCGATAAACTTTAGACACTTCACGCAGCAGAGAATCACGGACGATTTCAGAAGGCAAGGAGAAATTCTGTCGTTGGGTTTTTTAATGTTAACATCCGATTCTTTTATTTTTAAGAACTTAACAATTATGACGTATTGCAAGAGAAGAATTTTAAAAATAAATTAAAGTTACGTTTGTTGTGACTTTATATTATTATATTAATTTTGAGAAAATATTCTTACAATTTTAAGTCAATTCAAAGTTTAAAATTGTTTCAATAACTTCTATAATCGTTTCAGTGAATTCCAAAATGTCGTATTACATTGTAATATTAAAAGACACGATGTATAAAAATCTGTTACGTCTTTTTTAACATTCTTCAATTGCATCAAAGTCGATTTGCGCGGACTATGCAATTTCCCTCTCACTTTAAATTTAATATCTAAACTATGTTTACGTAATTATTGTACATTAGTTTAGAAAAATTCGTAAAAAAATAAAAAAGACTTTCGGCGACGTAGCTATTAATTTAATTACAACGAGATAAGAAATAAGTGACTCAATGAGAGCGAAGAGAATTTCGCCAAGGTCGTGGAATCTGACGAAAGCTCAGCCTTTTAATCGGATGTTTTTGCTTCGTTTCGGTGGATAATCATTTATTGATATTAATTATATTGTACGACATTTTGCCGAGGATAGACAAATTATGCTAAATTGCGATAAATCGAGCGATAAAAACTATCAAAGTCAGTTCTTTACAGGCGCTAGTGTTGCTCTGTTTGCTCTTTCGTTTGTGAAATTTCTATTTGCAGAATGTTAACCGTTGTGATAGGAAATTCCGATAATGAAAGGACTTTGTGATTGATAAAATTTATATATTTTGTGTTATAAGATAAGTCATACAACTAGGATACATTGTAAGTATTAATTTCGCTTAGAAACATAGGCAGAAAATTGTTAGAATCGAGAAATATTCCTAAGGATTATTTTTATAAATTGGAAATTTTTATATTCGTATCTTCTTGTGAAATTATTTTTTGTGGTATTTCTCTTGAAAGTGTTAGTTTTGTTTTGGAGACTATTGTTATTACAAATTCCTAGAAACATTATATTTGCTATAGATCACTGTGTAAGTTCTATGAAAAGTATTCTGAAGAATAATATTTTTGGGGATATTATTTTTGATAAAAAGTATCCTTAAAAATATTATTTCTATAAAAAATGCTCCTCTAAAGGATATTCTAATAAACAGCATGACGATAAAAAAAAAATCCTAAACAGATAATATTGCAATTAACAATCCTCCGAATTAACGATTAAAATTAATAATTAAAAATTAATAAATCTTTATCCTCTGTTTTTAAAGTAGAGCTAAACAGAACTAATTTATATTCATTTACAGCTATTTGTTAATTCGTTTACTAGTTACTTTCTGATATCTAAATAGACATTCATATTTCTCTAATATATCTGTAAAAGATAGTCTGACATAATTGCGTCCTAGTTAATTAAGTACATGATGGAACTATGCATGTAAAGTCTGATCTTTCTGAAAGTCTGATCAAAACACGAATTATCTCTCTTCTGAAATAGAACTCCAACAATAACAGGAGATAATAATGTGAAATAATTCTTATTCATACGAGATGTAAGTATAATATGTATTAGGGAAGCATGTTACGTGTGTACGTGTTATAATAGTACATCTATTAAATATAGACATGAAACGATCTTCTTTTTAATATTTATAAATTATTTTTGTTTCATCTAACAATTACCAGAATTCAAATATAATTTAAAAATGAAGAATAGAAAAATAGTTGTAATACAAAGTTATCTCGGAAAACGAGAGAGAGAAATTTTAATTTTAATTCCTTAAATTCCGTCACTATAGTATTACAGAATTAGGTTTATTACTTTATAAGTTCAATAGTATAAATGTATAGTATTACAGAATTAGGTTTATTATTTTTACAAGTTCAATCTGTCATCAAGAACAGAACTTTCTGAGAAAAACGATTTGTGATAAAATTCTATATACATTTATTATATTTGATCAAATATAAAATTAAAAATAAACAGGCTCTCTGAATTTTATAAATTTTTAAAGTATCGAGTGAAGAATTAGGGAAAATAAAACATTCTTAATCGAAGATTCTTTGCAAACAATTAAAAATTATAAAGAGTCAGAAAAAAAAATATTAAATTTGAAAAAGAAAATAAAAAATCCTAAATCATAGAGTCTAAATTAAATATTTCTAGAATCAAAAAAAAAACAAAACATTCTAAATTAATTTAAGAACCTTATGGATATGGGTATCGAAAATTTATAAAAGAGAATGTTGTAGATGAAAGTTTTTTCCTGTAATAAATGCAACTCGTATACTTTCGCTGAAAATTCTGTTCCATGCATAACACTGTTCCATAATCACAACCTGGAATTTATGCATGCGCATGAAACGCTAGTATTATGCGTCATCGACAACTCTAGCATGTGAATCAGCCAAAAACTATTCGAAATTGATATTCCACAATTAGCGACAAGTAACTCACGACTAGTTTATTTGTAGCACAACCGATTTATCATTCCGCAATTATCATTTACACGGAAGCTTCGCCTGTTTCATCGCGAGAATTTTCTCCGTCACTTCTTTAACAATACTAGTACTCTACTGTTGATTTCAATTTAATAAGTTTGACAGATTCTAATTCAATTTAATGAATTTTAGTGGATTTCAATTTAATTTAATTCAATGTATTTAATGTTGCAAAATTTCTTAGGCTGATTCAATTTATTTTTATGCCCTCCAGCATGTAAAATAGTAATAATTATACATACGTTTTATTAATCATATTTAAGAAATATTTACTCTTTCAAGATTAAGTAATATGAATTAATGAACGCGGATTGTGATATTTACGGTCAGATAATCCATTTGAAATCAGTTCTTTAACTGACGATGATAACTGATTTTTATTAACTAAAATTAAATACAAATCATTATAAATAGAGGATTAAGATTAATTGCAAAGACTCTTCTCTTTCTTTCCAATATTTTATTATTCACGCTCACACTTTTTAAAGATTAAATTTAGATCGTTATAAATAATTTATTCTCTTTAATAATTGTTTAATTTTGTATTTGAATTCTCGATCAGACTAATAGGTAAGGTCGTGAATTCTACGTTATCAGAAAGATAACTGTTCTGCGATATTTGCAATTTAACTCGCGCCCGAAATGTAAAAATTGGCTGATAGAGTGTTCGAAAAAGTTCAGAAAAAAAGTGAATGTTAATGATCATGGTAAGTTGCATCAGGCTTTTCAACGAAATATCTCGCTTCCGATTGGAACAAAATATTCGAACTTTTGACGATTGAAATTAAAATTACTTCGATAACGCCGTCTTATATTTAAATTTGTCAAATGATTAGCTGATTAATTCCTTTATACAGTTGAATTTATACTTTTCAGTTCTTTCATTTTATCATTATGTGCGTCATCAAAATGAGAAACCATAATAATCAGTGCTATATATTTATTTTTCCATTAGGATTAAGAACGAGATTCGATTACAGAGGAAAAAGCGAGAACGCTCTCTAAACAAGATAGATTAAAAGTTATTTTACACAGTGCGTTTTGTTATTCTTGATCGACACCCATTTCACGAAGATAATTCCGCAGTTACGTAAGAAATTTTCTGCACAAACAGCGAATGTACATGTACAATAAACGATGATATTTTTCGTTTTTTTACAACACATACGTATACGTAGATTTCACAGCAGACGACGTGTGAACGACGCGTTTGTATTTCTTAATGAACCACGTAAATTGATAACTTGCACTCGAGCATCAGTATTTAACCCCTGAGCCAGACAAGCTCGATAAACATTGTTTATACAAAATACGTACATCCTTCCTGTCATAAATCAACTCGTCGACGTATCAAAAATTTCTTTTCCTTTTTTTTTTTTTCATTTTTCGAGCGTTTCCTTTCTAACATTTCTCTTTTGCACACACAATACGTCTTTCTGCTTGATAAAAGAGATTGAAGAAATGTAGAAACTATGAGAGTCCTAGGTCACTCTTTAGAAAGTTGATTGAATTTGGGAAATATGTATTGGGAAAATGATTTAATTGTTATTTTAATAATTACTATTTTATTATTGTTTATTGTTAAATACGAAATTATTATTAACTCTTTTTTTAACTGTAGCATCGTTAAGTGAGTTTCATGTCACTTTTCAAACAGTTGAACTGAATTAGAGTTGTGCTATTGGGAAAATTATTTAATTATTTATTATTTTAATGATTACTATTTTACCATTATTTAATAATTAGCTTCTCTTTTATGGCAAAGAAGCTTACAGAGGCAGATGAACTTTCTTCATTGTAAGATTATTTTTATCATGCTCGTAATAACCAGCGAATAAGTTGTTCAGCTCGGAGACTATCAGTATCTGAACGTAAGTTTACATATGCTTGTCTTTGAGTGATTGATTGAGTCATATAAATGGCATCATACCAAATTGTTGACATGCAATAAATGCCAAACTAAAATGTTCTAAGCTTAAACGATAAAAATTCTATCAAATTCTTACAGAATCTTCAAAACTGTTTGAAGCGTTAAAAAAATTCAACTTCATCGACAAAACTTTTTGAACGAATTTTAGTAAATCTATTCATATCAACGTTAGAAATACCAGCTTAATACTTCGGTGTATGTAAATACTCTATATATATTAATGATCATTTAATAAATAATAATCTACATAATTATTGGATTATAACCATGGTAACACAAATTTATATTTTTATAAATACAATTGGGAAAACTAGCAATTTGAGTATTGTTATGTATACTTCTGCAGCTTGAAACTTATCATCAACACAAATGATTATCAACTCTAACAATTACAATATTTATCCTAAAGTCGTCGTATTATTCTCCAATTTCACAAAAAATCATCCCAAAATTTCACCAGCACTAAAGGACAAAAAA